AGGGTGTTGGTTTAGTTGGGCAAAAAAATTAAAAAAGCCAGGGGTGGGGGGGATTGGGAGGAAAGGGAGAAAGAAAAATTCTTGAGTCTGGTCATGGCAGGAGGGCCTGTGGGTTGATGGGACCTGGTGACCAATGGTGGGAAGACAAGGGATCCCAGACACCCACCTGGGCTTGGGCACTGGTGACAGATGATGTGACATAACTTGGAAGGTGGGGATTACAGGAAAAGTGACAGGCACATGCCCCATTTGATCTCACAGTCAGGTGGGACAGCTGAGTGGAGACCACGGCAAGAATTCATCAGGGACAAAGCTGTTCTCTCAGGAAATCACAGCAAAATTTTCTCAACTCTTACCTTTTTCCCAAATTTTTGTCCCTAAAGAACACCCACAAATATAAGAACTGTACATGTTAATTGCCATTATCAATAACCTAAAAGCCTTGAGGTTTTAGCTGAGCTTCTCGGGCTGGTCTAGTGAATATTAGGGAGAAAGGTATTCATACTGAGGCTGTGGTTGTTGGGTGCCGTCCTGTTGATTCCGACTCATAGCGACCTCATAGGACAGAGCAGAGCTACCCCATAGGGTTTCCAAGGCTGTAATCCTTACGGAAACAGACTGCCACATCTTTCTGCCACATCTTTCTCCGTTGGAGTGCCTGTTGGGTTTGAACCTCTGACCTTTCGGTTAATATCTGAGTTCTTAACCATTGCAATACCAGGCTGGCACTAACCAGTTCCTGACTTGCACAGGCCAAGAAAATAGTGTGAAAAGGCACGTCTAATCTTCACCTAAAATAACCCGGATGTGGTAGGGATGTTGTCCTTTTAAGAGCCAATACCCAACGAGCCCTGGCAGTGCAATGGTAAAGCACTCGGCTGCTAACCAAAAAAGTTAGCAGTTTGAACCCACCCAGCAGCCCCGCCGGACAAAGACCTGGCAATCTGCTCCCATAAAGATTACAGCCTTGGAAACCCTATGGGGCAGTCCTACTCTGTCCTATGGGGTCACTGAGTCGGAATCGACTCAATGGCACCAAAAATCAACCACCCCTCCTCCACCAGCTGTTTTATTGAAAGAACAATCTGGCTATACTGTGCCTGAGATAAGGAAATGTCAGCTGTTGTAACAAATAAACCCCAAATTCTCAGTGGCCTAATGATGAACGTTCTGGCCAGGGTGTCACTCAGGAGCCTGGGGTCCTTCCATCTGACCCTTCTTCTCTAGGTCCTCGGACTACCTTCTATTCAATTGGAAGAGTGGGGGGTTTGCCTGGAAGGTTCCCATGGGCCAGGGTCGATGGTGGCCTCTTATCACTTGCAGCTACTCTTCACTGGCCAGGACCGAGTCACATGGCCACACTGCATTGCAAGGGAGGCTGGGAAATACCATGCAGTGATGTGATCAGGAAGAAGATGGGTTTTGGTGAACAAAGCATTTTGTCACGAGTGGGTCCAGTTTTCTCCTTTTAAAATTGATCTCCCTGCACCCCTTGTGCTTTTTCATTAAATTGGGCAGGTGGTACCTGAGATCGGTGGGATCGCAGCACTTGGGTTAAGGCCCCCTGCTCTGCTATTAGTGGTGCCATGTTGGCAAGCAGACGGACCTCACTGAACCTTCTTCACCTGCAAAATGGAGATGACTCTTAGCTGGCCGGTGCTGGCAGGCTGTTCGCTGCCATCGAGTTGGCCCCCCAGCTCACAGGGGCCCCGTGCACAATGGACTGAAATACTGTCCAGTGGTCCTGTGTCATCCTCACGACTGGCTGAGGATCAGACCAGTGTGATCCACATGGTTTTCACTGGCTGATTTTTGGAAGTAGATCACCAGGTCTTTCTTCTTAGTCCAGATGGGTGGTGGCTGTGCATGAGGTACATTGGCCAGGAATCGAACCTGGGTCTCCCACACAGAAGGTGAGAAATATACCAGAGCCACCACTGCCCTCAGCTGGTCAGGCTAGAAATAACACGTGCACAGAGGGTAGAGAGGCGCTCACGAAGGCCCTTGCCCACCTGACACTAGCCACGTGGGAGCGTTCAGCCTCGTGTCCCATGCACTGTCCAAATGCCGTGGACATGCTTTTCCCAGGTCCGGTAGGTCTTCGGTTAAGCGGATTCCTACTAAACCTTCAGGCCTTGAATCAAAGTCATTGCCTCAGGAGTCCTTCCATGAGCCCCAGTCCTCCCTCCACAGTCAGGTAGGCTGGTCTCCCTTACGGGATCCCATTTACCCCCTCCCCATTGGTGACACATTATTAGCAGAGCATGGAAATGGCTTAGCCCCTAAAACTGTGTGGTATAGAACTGGGATTTCCAATTCCAGGCAAACACCAAGAAAAAGCTAGGCATCAACCTGCTTCCCTTCAGAAGCTGTGGGCACATGATTCCCATGTGGTCACTGCTGGTGGAACACCCCATGTTTCAAGAGCAATTAAGTTACAAGCAAGAAAACAGACACTTGCTGTCTTAGTTATCTAGCACGGCTATAATAGAAATACCACGAATGGTGGCTTTAACAAACAGTATTTTATTTTCTCACTTTAGGAGGCTAGAAGTCCGAATTCAGGGTGCCGGCTCTAGGGGAAGGCTTTCTCTCTCTGTCAGTTCTGGAGGAAGGTCCTTGTCTCTTTGAGCTTCTGCTCCTGGGTGACCTTCATGCGGCTTGGCATCTCTTCCCCCATCTCTGCTTCTTTAGGCAAGGTGTTTGTTTAATCTCTTTCGTATCTCAAGAGATTGACTCAAGATACACCCTCCACTAACTCTGTCTCGTTGACGTAACAGACAACCCATTCCCAAGCGGGATTAAAACCACAGACCGTGGGAAAACCACAGGCACAGAGGTCAGGATTTACAACACAAATTTTAGGGGGACACAATTCAACCCATAACACCCGCTAAATGGATTGCTGGAGCCCCTGGGTGGTGCAAACAGTTAATGTGTTCGGCTGTTAAGCGAAAGGTTGGAGGTTCGAGTCCACCCAGAGGTGCCTCGGAAGAAAGGCGTGGTGATCTCCTTCCAAAAAAGCAGCCATTGAAAACCCTATGGAGATCAGTTCTACTCGGACACACATGGGGGTGTCATGAGTTGAGGTTGATTCAACGGCAACGGGTTAAACAGATTGTCACACTGTCATCTAGGGGAGTTGTTTAGGGGAGGGATCATCGCTCTATGCACAGATACTTATACTGGGCTTTATCTTTGCTTTATTTAAAGTTTGGTTGGGTACAGAAACACACACACACACTTAACAAGTTAAAATATCCAAATAAAATTTACTGCAACTTTTGTTAGAATTTGTGCTACAAGACATGTTGCATAGGAAACTATTTGAAAGCCCCTGAGGAAAAATATTCATGGTTTAAGGTGCAACTGCTTTTGCTTCTTCTTTGGGGAGAAGGTGAGAGATGATGTCTGGTAAGAACGGCGGTGGAGAGACAAGAAGCAGAATTTAAGGTTGTTTTGTGTGATGACTGGGGAATCGTTTACACACCTTTTTTTTTCTGGTTAGCCTGTTGGTCTACAGTTTCTGAATCAGCAATCGATACGAAACAATGCTTTGGCCCAATAAGGGATTATGCACTGATTATGCTAACTCATTGAAAGCAGATTTGGAGAATGAGACTCAGGGGTCCCCACGGCCCAACGCTACTGTGGACAAACACAGCTGAATCCTTCCAAGTCCCCGGGAATTGCCTCGCTGTGGATTTTTGCCAGATATTTCATCTGTCCAGCCTGCTGTTCCCAATTACAGGAGATTTAGTGTCAATGGAGGGGATTTAGCGTCAGCATGCCCACACACTCCCAAGCTGATCTACAACCCTAGAGGTGACAGTTATTAAAACAACTTGTGACACGTCACTGATTTTACGTGGGGAACAATCTGATTTTAAGAAAACGTTCACCCTGCTCAGATCATCTTTATATTGTGTAGAAAATGGTCTTCCCTTATAAGATGTATTTCCAAGGAGATGTGGGTGTACCAGGAAAAGAGAACAGTTAAGTTTCAGATGAAACAAGTGGAGTTTGGCACCTGGGAGCAGGCACCTGTTGTCAGCATGCGGCACCACTTCTGAGGCCAACCAGTGTGCAGGACAGATGTGAGAAGGGTAGTGGCCACCAGGCTCCAACCTGTGGGCGTCCACCTTGCTCACGAACGGCACTGTTCTTTGAATGACCAATCACAACAGACTGGGGCCACGGTTCTGAGTAGAAACGCCCCTCTGTAAAAAATGTCAACTCTCAGCTGCTTTCTAACCTATTGGCAGGGACATCTCAATGGCACCTAATCACTAACGTTGGAGCTAACTCTGCCCACTAAGCTCACAAAAGATTCACATGTGATGTGGATTATTTCCCACCCCATGAGGAAAAGGTAAGGAACAGACTTAAAACAAGAGGGGAGCACGGCCTTGGGCATTCTTAGAAAGATGAGCAGGAGCAAAACTTATTTACTGAAAACCACTTTTCCTATTTGATGGACCCTTTCACAAGTACTAACTGGAGAAGGTCCAACACCGAACAATTGCCTCCCTGTGCTAATTGCTGAAATGCAAAGTGTGGCTGGGAATCAGAAATGCCCCAAGGACCTTAAATACATATTTACATCTATAACATAATTTAAAAAGGTCTTTATACAACATAAAAACCTCAACAGTATCTGCCCCCATTAATTTTTTTTTTTACCTTTATGCTCCGTTAAAAAATTAGACAACCTTTCTCATGTGTCTCCCCCCCAACCCCATACCTTAAAAAAGTGATTTTAAATTTAAATTTATGCTTAACAAATAGAAAGCTATTTGATTGGCAACAACCTGCAGTAGAAAACCCCCTCAGCCTCCTGGAAGGAGGAGAAGGGCTGAACATGGCGAGTGCTTGGTCCTGGGTGTTGGTCCAGCCTGCAATGACCCTGACATCTGTCTGTGCAGGTGGCTCTGCCTCCCTCCCCAGCTCCACGGTGACCCCGTGGGGACCCAGTGCAGAAGGAGTGGGAGGGAACCTGCTCAAATCACAAAGTCGTCATGGTCAGCAGGGCTGAAAGCGGCCGCTCTCAGAATATCCAAAGAGTTCACCAGGATCAGGGTCCCCGTGAGGTGTTTCCAGCGCTTGGTGATGGGGTTTTTCATCTTGTCCAGGCCGATGTGCAGCTCCTGGATGACATCACGGTAGCTGTCCCCGATCTGGTGGCTCCAGGTGAGTAAGAAGTCGTACGCGGGCTTCCACATGGCCTGGATGTCACAAAAAACAGAAGGGAGAGGGGGAATTAGGGATGGCAAGAGTCTGGTCCCTTTAGCTCCTTCAGTTGCTACGCACGCCATTCTCTCTAGTTTGAAACAGACATACAGAAGAAACGCCCAGAACCATCTCTGACTAGGGCCAATACCGTTTCAGAGGGAAGAAGAATGTTCTGCGTGAGAGCACACACTTAGCAAACGCTGCCTGAGCGAACAAAAAGCATTTCTTTCCTTACAATCCCTGCAGCATTTTCTGTCTGGGCTAATCATTTAGCAATTCCCTGGGTTAATAAAGAACTCCAACAACAACAACCAAAAAATGTGTGTGTGTACATATGTGTGTACATGTAGATATGTAGCTATGTCTATGTATAATACACGCATGTGTGTGAAGGCGCGTATCTTCATTATACAATAAACCACATGGGGGCTCAGTCACTGATACCTCTCAGATAACCAAACACCTCGTGGGACTGGTTTTCTGGGTTTGAAAGAGTAGGACCATAGTCTCATGGGACAACTGGGTCAACTGGCATAACAGAGTTCACAAAGTTTATGTTCCGCTTCCTAGTTTGGCTGAGTAGTGTCTGCAATCTTAAAAGCTGGCAAGTGGCCATCTAAGATACAACTATTGGTCTCTTCCTGTCTGAAGCAAAAGAGAAAGAAGAAATCAAAGACTCAGAGAAGAAACTATTCTACAGGACTAACAGTCTACATGAGCCACGGCCTCATCTACCATGAGCCCAGAAGAACTAGATGGTACCCGGCTACCACTAACTGTTTTAATCAGGGCCACAATAAATGGATCCGGAGACAGTGGGAGAAAAACATGGAGCACAACTCTAATTCTTAAAAAGTCCAGACTTGCTGGACCAACTGAGACTAAAGGAACCCCCGAAACTATCGCCCTGAAATACCCTTTAAATTTTAAACTGAAACTACTCCCGGAGGTCACCTTTCAGCTAAATAACAGATGGGCTTATAAAATGAACAATATCACCTGTGAGGACAGTGCTCCTTTTAAAAAACATCTATATGAGCCCAAGCGGTCAACATTTACCCTAAAGCAAAAATGAGAAGGTAAGGGGGCAGGGAAACTAGATCAATGGAAAGGGAACAACTAGAATGGAAATAATGAGAATGTTGACACACGGTGAAAAATGCAACGCCTGTCACTGAACAATTTATGCGGTAATTTTTAAAAGGGAACCTAATTTGTTGTGCAAACTTTTACTGAAAACACAGTAAAATACTGTTTTAAAATAAATAAATATGCAGCCTTGGGACTTCCTGCTTCCCTTGTTCCGGTGAGCCTGAACCACCTTTCAGGAAGCTTACTATAGTGACCTCCACAAATCAGAATACAAAGAATCTCTGAGCAAGACCCCAACCGCAGCAGCTTTTGCCAACATTATATAACATACCAGGTATTTATCCAACACAGTTCCTGGGCAGAGGCCTGCAGAACTGATGACAATGGGCTCTATTGAGGCACTAATCAATATTACTGAATGTAACTTAAGAACAGAATGCATAAAGGGACAGGTAGTTCCGAGTACACTGTCCCGTCTTCCCATTTCATGGCCGACGGACCTGCCATCTTCAAAGCCAGGCTGGCAACAAACAGTCTCAAGAATGATGAGATTCTGCTCACAATTACTAAGAATTACTGTGTGCCAGGTACAGACTTGCATGTTTTAACTCATTTTAGCCTCATAATAACATCTTTCCCCTGTGAAGCAGCTGGTCAGTTCAAACCGCTGACCTTTGGGTTAGCAGCCGAGCGCTTACCCACTGTACCACCAGGGCTCCTCCATAAGAACATTACCAAGCAGGTATTTTTATGACTGCGTTGTACCAGTTGGGAGCCCCGATGGTGCAGCAGTTAAGCACTTGGCGGCTAACTGAAAGGTCAGTGGTTCGAACCCACCAGCAGCTCTGTAGGAGAAAGATGTGGCAGTCTGCTTCTGTAAAGATTCCAGCCTTGGAAACCCTATGAGTTGGATTCAACTCATAGTAATGGGTTTGGTTTGGCTTGGTGTGGTGTACCAGTTGAGGAAATTGAGGAATGGAGAGTTAGGTAACCCTGGAGCTCAGCCACCACCACGCTGGCTCCCAAGGACCGTGAAGACCCGCTTCCTCCCCTGCTCACCTCACTGTCCACCACCCCATTCTTGTCCCGGTGCGGGGACTCGTACGCATCCATCTGCTGCTTAGAGACCCTGGCGAGCTTTTCAGCCAGCTCCCGCCAGCGTTGGGCCACCTCGACGGCCGTGGTCAGGAGCACGAAGTCCTGGATGAGTCTGACCACCAGCCCCTGGCAGTCCATCTTCAGTAAGGCCTGTGAAGGAAGGAGCAGAGCGTGAGGCCGAGGGACAGGTGGCCCTCTGGGCTCACCTGAATCTCAGCACAGAGATGGTGCAGAACAGGTGACAGGCCCTCAGCCGTGAGAGCTGTGGGACCTGTGAGTGTCCCCTGAACCCGATCACTGCTGAGACTCCCAGGGGAAGAGAAGGGACGATCCACAGGGAGAACGGGGATTACGCGGTCCGCCCCGCTCTCAGCATAGGACCTGTGAGTGTCCCCTGAACCCCAGCACTACTGTGACTCCCGGGGGAAGAGAAGGGACGATCCGCAGGGAGAACGGGGATTACACGGTCCGCCCCACTCTCAGTATAGGACCTGTGAGTGTCCCCTGAACCCCAGCACTGCTGAGACTCCCGGGGGAAGAAAAGGGACGATCCGCAGGGAGAACGGGGATTACACAGTCCACCCCACTCTCAGTATAGGACCTGTGAGTGTTCCCTGAACCCCAGCACTACTGTGACTCCCGGGGGAAGAAAAGGGACGATCCGCAGGGAGAACGGGGATTACACAGTCCACCCCACTCTCAGTATAGGACCTGTGAGTGTCCCCTGAACCCCAGCACTGCTGAGACTCCCGGGGGAAGAGAAGGGACGAGCTACAGGGAGAATGGGGATTACAAGGTCCGCCCCGCTCTCAGCATAGGACCAGTGAGTGTCCCCTGAACCCCAGCACTGCCGAGACTCCCAGGGGAAGAGAAGGGAAAATCCACAGGGAGAACGGGGATTACACGGTCTGCCCCACTCCCACTCCCACTGGGGCACCTGGAGAGAGGGTGCGGCCCTTCACCAAGACAGACAACATGGCATGAGACTTGGGGGAGGGTGTAAGGACAGGCTGGGCATATTGACTTTGCGATGCCAAAGACACTGAGAAGAGGGCAGAGGAGCTGTGACTGCTGGGCTCACACAGGGCCTGGGCCTCAGGCTGGGACCTGGGAGGCTTTGGGTTTGGAGACAGAGTTAGGCATTGTGCGGAGAGGTCGTTCAGGGAGGATGAAGATAACAGGGAGAAGGCCGAGTCTTGGGTGCATATCAAGAACCACACTGATCAGATCAGAAAATGCATAGGTGTTGGCCCTCCCCAGATTGTGAAGTAACAGAACATCCTTTCAATTCTCAACAGGACTGCTCCCTCACCAAGGCTGCAAAGAACCTTCTAGTGTGTCCTCGTTCACAGCACCGGTGTTCCAGTGATGATGGAGGGGCTCAGGAGGACGCAGAAGGCGACGAGAGTCCTGCTTGGAGCGTTCTTGTCCCAGCACAGCCACCAACAACGTGGGCAGGACTTGAAACTCCACTTCTCACCCAGAAATAGGGGCTGGATTCCACAGGCCTTGAACACAGGGCTCAACGACCCTGAGTTCTGCTTGACCCCAGAAATGGGTCAAGCCAAAATTTCTGGTTTTAAGGAAGAATCAAGCTGGCTGGCATGCAGGCCAGCTGGTCTGCAGACGGTGGGAGGTGAACAGCTTGTACCAAATTACATGACTGCTGCTGCTGCGTGTCATGTAAGTGGGTCTGGAGCGACCCATAATTACACACGAGGCCAAACGCAGTTAGCAGCAGGGCTGGGAGCGGATGGCGTCTACGCGGATCAGGATGAGCTCACCCACGGGAGCCTCACTCCCAAGCGTTCTGCAGTCCAGAACGTGCAGATTACAGCCCTGCACTGGGAAAAGACGTGACTTCCCTGGGAAACACGGGTCTGAGAGGCACATCCCAGGCTAAGATCAAAGAGAAACTGAAAGAAAAAACAATCAAAAAACCCAGTTGCCACTGAGTTGATTCCAACTCACGGTGAGCCCTGTGTGTCAGAGTAGAATTGTGCTCCATGGGGTTTTCAGTGGCTGGGGTTTGTTTTTTTTTTCCCAGAAGGAGGTAGCCAATCCTTTCCTTTGAGGTGCCTCTGGGTGGACTCGAACCTCCAACCTTTCCGTTAGCAGATGAGCACATTAACCATCGGTACCACCCAGACTCCAAAGAAAGAATCTAAGAGTAGGAAAAAAAAGTCCCCGGGGACTGTCCTGCCACTCTGCCTAAGCATCTACCTGATCTCAAGTCAGAACCCCAAAGAGAATGTTTCAAAACAAAACAAAAAACCCCAAATTCAGCGAAACACGCAGCTCATGTGAATGCTCTCTGCCAACTGTTTTGTGAGGGCTGACCTGCAGCCTTGAATTCGTGCAAGTTTGCAATCTGCTGGTCTCTTAATTTAAAGAGCGCACAGCTATTCGGGACTGGGTATTCTAACACCCATGCTATGTTTATTTGGGGGCGGGGGGTGGTTGTGATAATAAGAATACACTGAGCAATACAAAGGAATGGTGATTTTTTTGTGACCCGCTAAATGCATCAGCCTGGCGGATGACTCTAAAGCCTTTAGCCAGACAGACGCCTTAGCATCTCCATCTCTGCAATTTAAAACATCCATCACGGATTCATCTGAGGATGTGACCCTGGATTTGAGAGGGCGGTGGGGGTTATCAATGTCGTTTGCCAGAAGGGAGTCTAAGGATCAGCAGGTCTTTTTCTGTTTCTTGTAAGTTAGTATTAACTAAGCCACCCCTTCCTCCCCCGTCTGTCAGTCTGTCATACTATGGTGACTTCCCGTTGCCGTGATGCTGGAAGCTGTGTCACCAGTATTTCAAATACCAGCAGGATCACCCCTGGTGGACAGGTTTCAGTGGCGCTTCCAGATGAAGAGACAGATTTGGAAGAAAGGCCTGGTGATCTACTTCCAAAAATTAGCCAATGAAAACCCTACGGATCACAACAGTATATTGTTCGATACAGTGCTGGAAGATGAACCTCTAGGTTGGAAGGCACTCAGAATACACAGTGGCATCAACAATGGACTCACGCATACCAACGACCGTGAGGACAGCGCAGGACCGGGCAGCATTTTGCTCTGCTGTGTGTGGGGTTGCCGTGAGGCAGAGATAACTTCACTGTAACGAGCAACAACATTCCCTGGCTCCTCAGAGCCCCTCTACAAAGCTGGTTCTGCGGTCACCCCAATTTACAGGGTGAGGTGAGCACAGGTAAGCGATGGGCTCCCCCACCTGGTGAACATCAGAGCCCGCGTTTGCCTGCAGGCAACCAGGCCCCAGCCCCCAGCCCCCACCCGCTACGCCTGTTTCAGAGAGAAGTAGAAAAGACGCCCACAGACACCGGGAAGCTTGTGGGGGCCCCACAGCTCGGGGTGAGGGTCTCTTGGCATGTAGCCCAGCAGCCTCCCCAATCCTGGGAACGCTCCGTTCCGTCAGGAATTGAACCAAATACAACACGGGTCTGGCCTACATTTCATTTCCTCTACTTAAGACATTCCAGAAAATGGCCTGCTTCCATCTGAATTTCTATATACTCGAATGAAACGGTTTTTAAAAATCAAATGTCTAAATGTAGAACAAACACTCAAATTCTTAAAAAGTCCAGACTTACTGGATTGGTTGAGACTATCACCTTGACATACCCTTTGAATTTTACATTGAAACTACTCTCATAGGCTCACCTTTCAGCTAAATAATAGACGGGCTCATCAAATGAACAATGTCACTCATGAAGACTGTGCTCCTTTAAAAAAAAATCTATATGAGATCAAACGGTCAACATTTACCCTAAAGCAAAGATGAGAAGGTAAGGGGGTAGGGAAACTAGATTAATAGAAATGGAACAACCAGAACAGAAGTAATGAGAATGTTGACACACTGTGAAGAAAGCAACCAATGTCACCGAACAAGCTGTGGAGAAATTGTTAAATGGGAACCTACTTGGCTGTGTAAACTCTCATCAAAAACACAATAAAATATATGTATGTATATAAAAAACCATATGTCTACTAGAGGCATGCTTCGGAAGGAAAAAAGAGTGCATACACATATGCTTATATGCATGGCGGGGGGATGTGTGATGAACTGGGGGAATTCCAGATTTTAGCTTTTTTGGCTTTACACCCCGACAGGTTGCGGCAGGAAGGTTCTCCACAGGTTTGCTGTCCTGGGAAGGAATGCGGCTGACCCAGGGTTTGGTAACACGTCCCTCAACGTTCCATCCTGCAAACCCTCCCCACCACACACAAAACAAACACGCGTCTCCGTCTATCCTGCGGTCCAGCTCTGCAGGTGGCCTCTGTTTCTAGGTAACAGAACAAGACGTCACAGTCACCTGCTTCTGATCCGACCCACTCCTGACATGCGTGATTAATTCTGCTCTCTCCTGAGGGGTGCTGAGCTCAGACACAAAGGTCCCCAGAAATGCAAACCGCTCTCCTGGGTCGCTGAATGACCATTCTGGAAGGGAGACTGCCCAGATGCTGCCCAGGAGCACGGCCTCCTTCCATGGAGCTCAGGTGAGTGAGGATGTTGGTGCCCCGATGCCAGGAACGAAGGCGTCTTTCACTCACTCCAGCTCCATTTTTGCTTCTTTGACGGAGCCCAGCATTGGTTTCCGTTTGTTACAAAGCTGCCCAAATCATCGAGAGGTGATTTATACATTTTTATGGATGAAAAATTTGGGGTACCTATCAGGTTTTGGTAAAGAGCCCTGGTGGTGTAATGGTTAATGCATTCAGCTGCTAACCAAAAGGCTGGAGGAGATTCGAGTCCATCGAGGCACCTTGGAAGAAAGGCCTGGTGATGTACTTCAGAAAAATCAGCCATTGAAAACCCTTTAGAGGACAGTTCTACTCTGACACACGTTGCCGTGAGTCGGAGTCAGCTCGACGGCACTGATAGACTGAGTTTAATCAATAGAAATATTCACAGCCGGAAGCTCCAGCTCTGCGCGCATTTTCCCCGTAGCTTCCTCTTTGATTTTTGCACGCACACAGGTACACACAGGTGTACCAGCTAATACCCCATGAAATACAGCACAATGCTAATCCAGCTGGAATTTCTCTTACAAGCGTGAACCATGATTTAAGTCAGGAGTGGCCAAACTTTTTTTTTTTTGTAAAGGGTCAGACAGTCTCTGCCGC